CCACGCAGCAGCCCTGGGGCCTTTTGATGCTGCAGGGCTTGTGGTCGGTCAGCCTCCCTGGCCACGGACTGCTGCCTTCTCCCGCCTACAGCGCTGCTGCCAGGCCAGCTTGGCTGCCTGAAGGGCAGGGATTGCACGCCCGAGGGGGCCTGCAGGGCCGGAAGAGACGCTCCCCTCTGCCGAAAGCCCTTTTGCTGCTGGGACGGAGAGCGCGGCCCCTGGCCCCAGCTTTACTTAAGTGCAGCGTTGTGACCGAATTCCCCATTGCTCCGGCCGCTCTCCCGCCTACAGCGCTGCTGCCAGGCCAGCTTGGCTGCCTGAAGGGCAGGGATTGCACGCCCGAGGGGGCCTGCAGGGCCGGAAGAGACGCTCCCCTCTGCCGAAAGCCCTTTTGCTGCTGGGACGGAGAGCGCGGCCCCTGGCCCCAGCTTTACTTAAGTGCAGCGTTGTGACCGAATTCCCCATTGCTCCGGCCGCTGCGCCTTGGGCCGGGGGAGAAGCGCCTGGCTGGCCGATAAGAGTTTGAAAAAACCCACGGCCGGGGGGGCCGCCTGCATCCAAACCCGGCCCCGGGGGAAGGAGGGAAACGTGGGGGGGAGTGAACAGCAGCCTCTGTTTTCAGCCCCCTTAGGATTGGGGGGCGGAGACCCGGCTTTGGTTTTACTTTTTAGTCTGGTGAAAACCTTGGCCTTTGTACATTTTATTTACGCTCCATGGCACAGCTGCAGGTAGCACGAAGAGACACTTGGAATAACGACGCTGCATCGCTCCCCGCGCTGCCCGGCCTCTCCTGGGAGCTCCTCAGCCACAGGGGAAGGTTTGCGCAGGTTCCGCTCTGCCCCATAGACACCCCCTGGGCCGCAAGGGATCCTACACCCAGCTCAGACGCCTCCCCTAGAGCCACCGCTTCTGAGAGGCCAAGAGGCGCTAGCTCCTTCCCCCCAAACAACTCTTTAACTAGGGACCGATTCTTTGGGCGGAGGCTGGGACTAACCCGAGAACTTCCCTGTGCCACGCCCGTCCCCTCTTCCTGCCTGTGGGTGGGATCTAACAGCCCCCTCCGGCACGGGGAGCAGCTGGGGGTCTCTAAGCTTGCTGTTAAGTCTAAGGAAGGCACCAGCGAGGTTGGGGGTGGGCGATTTAGGGCCTAGCTGCTCGATGGAGGAATTAATTTAAAAGGACGTGGTGAGTGAGTTGGGGCCGGGCTCCGGGCTCCAGTGACAGCCCCTGATTGGAGAGAGGCGGGGGGGAAAAGCAGCCGGTTTTCCAGAGGCGCCCGCGTCCCGTTACCTGCCCTCGTTCTTCTCGGCCACGGGCTTAAGGGGCAGCAGGCGGCTGTTCTTGGGGGGGCCCAGGGCTGCCACCAGCTCACTCTTGCGCACCAGGGCTGCTCTCAGCTGGTCCCTGATGGCCTGGATCCGGCCCTGGGTCTCTGGGGGGGGCCCCTTGCCGTTTGCGCAGGGCGCTGCCTCTGTGCTGAAATGCACGCGCCGGGCGGCTTTCCTGAGGTTGTTCCAGGCGGGCTGGTGGGCGTCTGGGCCGGGGGCCTCCGGGCTCCTCTGGCTCGCTGAAATGCACGCGCCGGGCGGCTTTCCTGAGGTTGTTCCAGGCGGGCTGGTGGGCGTCTGGGCCGGGGGCCTCCGGGCTCCTCTGGCTATTGCACCTTGGGAGTGAAGCGGGCGGAGGGGGGGGGGA